ATTCAATTTACTGACGTTATCCAACCTTCATTCATAATCATTTATACCAATAATTGATACCATATTAACATTGACCTCTTAAATTCCCTATACTGACGTTATGAAACCTTCAATCCCGATCATTTGTCGTTCATTGACCTCCTAAATTTAATATATTGATGTTATCCAACCTTAGTTCACTATATCCAACCTCATACAGTAGCCAACGAACATCGTTCATATTTCAATAAGAATACGAAGCCTTGCGATGGTCAATAAAATAGATATGATCCACTGATCGATGCATGAAAATGACCATGATGTGCTTCCACCAAATATACTGACAATATTAAATTTACATTCTTATTTATTCGATTTCAGTAGCCTCACATAGTAGCCCTAAACGTAGTTCATATATCAACATAGAGATTCGATCAACTCACATCATGATCATCACATCAAAGTTAGCGCAACAAATCGACTTTAATTCCCAAAATCTGAGAACCCCCATTCAAAATCTTCAATATCGCTCATCTTGCTTCCCCCGAAAAATTTTCGTATATGCGAGAAGATTCTGGACTAACTGCCCGTTGTAATGACCACCGTAGCAAACATTGCTTCATAAATGCCATGCGTCTGGCTCGTTATTAATAATCGAATAAATAACCAGTGAAAGAAATCTGATGATCATGCAACAGTCTCAGCGTTCCAATTTATGATAAGTGAGCCTATTTCAGCGTTTACGAATATATATGAAATTGCTTTCAACAAGGATGACACCTCAGCTCAAGCACTTCATATTATTCCTGCACTACGACGATAAGAGACTCGAGGAGATTTAGGAGACACAACGATAATCTTGACAAACGTTTTCAATCCTATTTAAACCAATAATATAATAACACACAGACATCGCTGCATTTAACTATTTGTGTTTAGCGAGCAGAAGTTTTGTTCGTTTCGATCTATCAAAAATATTTAGACTTCTTGAAAATCTGCGTTTGGAGCAGCAACTCAGTACGCATGTTTGAATAGCTACATCACTTCATTATCAATGAAACACCGTCCTCTTTCTAAGATAGGTTACATGTGAGATAACGTATCAGTAGAATGTCATTGAGCACGGCCCATTCTTCTTGACTTTATATGAACAGTGGACAGCAAATAACCTAACCAAATTTCCATATGTGCCATCTGGACTCGTTTAAATCCTATCAATAAAAGCCCAAGCCTTGCGGTGGTTTGAAAAAGATATTCTTTTCAGGGTTCGATGCTTGGAATTAGCTATACTTCTCATAAACTCAATGAATTGGCGTTAACCAACCTCCACTAAGAATCTTTCATATAGCCCATACAGCAGCCCGCTAACAATGTTCATATTGCAATATGAATACCAAGACCAATGATAATCAATGGAAGATATCGTTTCCAGCGATGAAGGCATGATAGCGGCCGTGCTATTCCACCACCAGTGATGCCGATATTATTACCCAATTTACGTTACAAACGATTCACTGACTAGTGAAGCACAGAAAACAAGCACCAATATCAATGTCTAATCCCAGTCCGCAATACCAGAATTGAAGGTGATGGGTGCTAATGATCAGCAAACATATGAATGATTCATCAACTAACACTACATCTGCCAATAATTAAATCACTACAATCACACCACTTGTTGGTCACACAACTGGTTAACTGAATCACTGGTGGTCTGAAAGTCACAGCCCCATTTACTTTTAAAAGTCGACATCAGGGCAGATATTCCTAGTAACTTGCAAATATTCGTTTAAAACCAGTGTATCCCAATGAAATGGCTAAAGACTTGCTTAGGTACCGTAAGAACACAGGACTAACATGCAGCTAGCTCAGTTAGTTAAGTAATGATAACAAAGCCTAGGTTGACATTTAAACAATGAGCTTCAGCAAGGTGATCTTCAAGGAGCTGCAGTTTGGAAGATGAGAAGACTCATGACAGGAAGGTCAGGACTGGGCAAGTCTGGGCTCCAGGTCTCAACAGCGTGCCAGCTGGGTCCCACACCGACTGCTCCTATCAAGTTAAAAAAATAACATGACTAGAGTCTATGGTCTTCATTGCATCTGATATAGAAGACTAAATTGACATTGTTCCAGCACGTTAGACATACGTCGGCCACAGCCACCACAACCACAAGACTGATGAATTGTACTGGGCAGCACAATTTTCATATTCTGATATTGAATAGTATAGGGAAATGACAAGACAAAAAAAAATATTTAAAATTACTTGTTGGCCACTATGTTACAAGTATACTTAAAGGATTCCTAATATATTCACAGACGTATTTAAAAGTCTCAAACCATAATATTAATATTCTTCCTATAAAAACTGTTATTCACTATTTGGTAGAGCAAGGTCAACTGTCAAATTTGACACATTTTTCGATGATCTCACCAGGTGGCATGCATTGTCTCTCTTTGGATCTCAATATTTTCCCACTAGATGTCCAAGACCTAGTGTTTTGGCAGTATTTTGACGCGCAAATGTATGACGTCACCATTTCAACCATCAACAAACGCATGGAACTAAAACAAAGCTTAATATAAAGGAAAAGCTGGAGAGGTGACGGAATTACCCACGATGTCAGAATATACCGCGTTTGCCCTACTCAGTCCAATTTTTTAGTGATTTTTGATAATTGCATGTACCCAAGCATGACAGGTTTAGCATGACTGAAAGACTAACCGTGCATATTCATGATATTGTATCATCTCCTACAGTTGATAAATAGCAAAACTGTAAATGCATAGAGCAGGCAGACACAGAGGAACATAAATAACACAAATCTGAAAATCCAGAAAATCCCTATCACCCCCATATCTTAATATCAATATTAATAAACCATATTACATCCCACAATGTCTACCACACAATGTGCTCTTCCATTACATTAGGCAACATTAACAAATAACAATGACTCAGCGTCATACTGCGTGCATATATGACTGCGTTGGTTCATAATTTCGCAATGAACAAAAACCTGGAGTCCCTAACCTAACCATATTAACCACCAGACAGTTTGTCGATGTTGACACAACCATGTCCAAGAGCATGGTCATCCTTACAAGGAAAATGCCTCCAACCTCAGGAACTTCAATGTTCATAAGCACACCTGAATACAGCTTCGACACTGAGGCTGTGAGGCAAACGGATGAAGAGAACCAAACAAACAATTGCTCTCGGAGTCTGCGCTTGCGGGAATATGGAAATAACTCAATTTTGAACAGACGGCTCGTGAAAAACTTCATGGTTGAACTAGTACAAGGTTGACCCATCAGAAGTCCATTTTTGCGGATGTAGTTCGTTGATCGCCTGTGACGTCACTGATCTCAGTGACGTCACGTGCATTAACCAATCACCGAAATGCGATCAAACCATTCAACCAATCCGTCGTGGGAATGACGGGCTTGTTTACGTTTCTCGATCTACGTGACGTTACAAGAAAGCTGATCTGAAAGACGGAACTTCTCGTGGATCAACCTTATATAATTCAACCATGAAAAACTTGACCATAATATAAATATAATGGATATTTCAAACTAGTTTTAAAATATTAATTATATTTATGCCTGATCAGCCTGAAGCACACCGTGAGCATAACTGTCATGCGAGTGTTCCATGTATGCTGATGACACAAAAGTTTATAATACAGTTAAGGATGCGTCAAATAAAGTGCAATTGCAACATGATCTTTATAGTTTAGTTATGTTGGCTGATACGTGGCAAATGCGTTTTTATGGCTGACATGTGTAAAGTACTTCACCTCGGGAAGAGCAAGAATCGGCAACAGGCCATGGGCTCATTTCTTCAGAGCCGACACTTCGATTCTATTCTAGTGAAAAGCAGGATTACAGTATGAGAAGACATGGCTGCAACGAAAGAGTAATGATTAAAAAGGCTAGCGTGAAAAGAGATTTGGGAGTTTATGCTGACAGAGAGCTGAAATTTTCTTGGCATATTGAAACACAAGCTAATTAATTCAATGAACATCTTGGACTGATCAGACGCTCTTACGAGTTCCTAGATGCAGCAGCGATGAAGCTGTTGTTTGTCACTGTCGTTCGCCAGAACTTAGAGTTTGAAATCACCGTGTGGTCACCGAAACTTGAAAAGGATACAAATTTAGTAGAGTATTCAAAGACGTGCAACAAGGATAATTCCGGGCTTGAAGGGCATGTTTTGTGAAGAAAGATAAGATTGTGAAGTTTCTAAGCCTAGGTTATAGATGTCGGCGTGGTTACCTCATTGAAGTATACTCATGGCTTATACAAGGTCCCAGAAGGATTACGAAAATTTGAAACAGGAACAAACACAATTAACCGCGGCTATAAACTATAACACTACGTTGTAACTCAACCACGCGGCAACATTTCTGCTCCTTTCACGTCACCGATATGTGGAACAACCTCCCTGAATACATCGCTGACGCTCCGAGTATGAACGCGTTACGTTTAGAAACATACTAGATAAAGCTTTAGATAGATACATTTCATATCATAGTAATGTCGGCGCTGAAGAATAGGCCTGTCGCCGATTCTTGTACTTTTCGTGACTTGTTCACAGCAGATCTAAAAACAGGTCCTTTGATCGGATCTTTTCCAAACTGACGATAGTTTGAAATGACTACTAGACTTCCACCAGGTTCGATGTGGCGCCAGGCATTGACTGAACATAAGAAGAAGAAGCTCAAGTGACACCGTCGTTCAAAAAAAGTGATAAGAGGAAGTATTTCTTCGCGACAACTTATTTTCATAACACGATGATCTGTAACATATAAATGCTGATATAGCGGCGTCTGCTTGACGGACGAATAATACAAGACAACCAGGCCTAGCTACTGCTTATTGCAGATCTGAATAAATTGACCCACAATTAATGACCTCGTAAAGGTCATAATGGCAAATAAACCTAATTGCCTCGCCATAAAAAAGTCCAAGAGAGACGGCATGATAATGTCAGGAGTTGTAGGATAATCAAATTGTTTTCACTTAAAATAAACGTTTAATTCAGTACCGTACCGGCAACGCAAGTAGCGGGTGCTCTCTGCAACAGCAGACTAGGTACATTAAATTCAATAGTTACTAAAGAAAGAGACAGCAAAAAGTTATTGCTATAAATAAATTAGGTCTATCTCAAATGAGTTAACCAAAGAAATATTTTTTCTTTGACGATTTGAACTAAATAGGTTTATCGTTTATAGAAATAGTGTGAAGACATCACTTCCGCACAAGGCGACAGGACTAACGCAAATGCTGAAAAAATAAAGAGAACTCCAGTAAAATCTATGTATATGATACAAGTAAAATACTTTTTGTACACTCATAGCATGTAAAGATCGGGTGACGGAAGGAGGCAACATTCTGATGATGCTGATCCACACCAGCGTCTTTTTTACAAGTAAACCACTAGCAGAGCATAATACAATCGAACAACGAGCCATAACCATCAAGGTCTGCAACTCAGATTTTAAACTTCATTAAAGTCTATATCCCACCCCATTCTTCCTTTCCACCAAACTTCAAAGCCTCAATTTCCCATCTAATATAAAACTCTTATTACTTGGAGACCTGGACCGGACGTGCATAACACTCTGGTACTCAAGCATCAAGGGCAACTGCGGAGAAGATTTGGCGATTGAAATTGGCGACTCCGATCACGTCACGCTGAATATGGACATGCCAACTAGGCTCCCAGCCACAGGAAAATCATCCTCACCGACCTTTCGATTGCCTCCGACACCCTGATCACCCATAAGAACTGGTCCACCAGACCGTTCTATCGTCCAACCACCCGCCGATCTACATCAAACTGAAGCAGAGACCATCGGGCTACTTAAACACCAGAAATCAACTTAATAAACTTTGCAAAAGCCGATTGGAAAAGGAACACTGCTGATACCGAAGCGGCCTTCAACAACACTTCTTTTTTGCTACCTCTACCAATAAAAGACAAATATGAACTATCACTTCCGAGGTCAGCATGACGGACGCTGGCACAACTTTGCTCCGGTCAGTTTAAACTTTTGAACAGTTACAGAAGCAGAATTAACAACAACATTAGAAACATGTGCGGGAACTGCCATATCTTCCCTGATGATGTGCTCTACCGCTTCAACTGTGCTAACAGCCCAACATGGAAACATCCCTCAACACCGTACATCTTCGGAGAGACCCTGCCATGGTTGTGCATTGTCTTCAGTTTCGGCTATACCAGTGAAGACAAGACTAAGCACGAAGCCACAACTACAACTGGCATTGTAATTCAGTTACTATCAGGATTGTCAGATATGCTTTTCTGCCAAAATTTGAGTCTTCGACTTTTCCTTCTCTTCTTTGCATTCGACAGTAAAAATCGTAATTGAATTAATTGTTTTTTTTTTTAATTAAATTGACTCTCAATTATTGAATTTTGACAGGCTTTGTCTTTTTTCATGAACGGAATTTGGCTTTCTTGCATGCTAACATCTGGCAACCCTGGTTCCTAAGCCATTCTTAGGATACCGCTGGGCTTTGAGGTTCAGTTTATGAGCACTGCTAAAGTCACATAGCTTACAGTGGAACCCATTTTATTGATCATGTGAGCTTTGAGGTAGGGTTTCCAAGCAGTGACATAATCACGCATCTTTTATTGGAATCCAGTTCCTATACGATGAGTTAAAATAATGTGAGCCTTGAGGTGCTCTTTCTGATGAGCAACATGATCGCACATCTTGCATGGGAACCAAGTTCCTATACCATGTTTTGAAAACAAGTGGCTTTTGAGGCGATATTTATGAGCAGTGACAAAATCACACATCTTGCATTGGAAGCCATCTCCTATACGATGCTTTGAAAACATGTGGGATTTGAGGAACTGTTTCTGAGTAGTGGAATAATCACACATCTTGCATTGGATCCCAGTTCCTATACCATGTTTTGAAAACAAGTGTTTTTTGAGGTGAATTTCCATAGCACCAACATAATCACAAATCTTGCATTGGCGTCCAGGTCCAATTTTATGCTTTGAGATCATGTGGCATTTGAGGTGTAGTTTTTGAGAAGCAACATAATCACAGATCTTGCATTGGAATCTCTTCCCCAAACCATGCTTAGCAAACACTTGCCTCTTTACAAGATGTTTGTAAGTACCTCGTTCAGGAGTTGGATGCAATTTCACTTCAGAATCAGAAGATATAACCCCTTTAATGTCAGACATTTCTCCATCCATTTTTCCATGAAAAGCAGTCTTTGGTGCTTCCTGGCCAGCATTGACGTGAACCTTGCACAGCATACCGTCCTGAAGATTGCAAACAGATGCATTTGATTGCAAAGTTTACTTAGATTAAGGGGACAATGTGTATGAAACTTATATTAAAAGAAATTAGAAATTTAGAATAAAACAAATAATAAGTTAAAAATAACCTAATTATTATCTCATCACCCCTCCAGAATGCTCAATGGAAAATTAATAAAAATTATATTTATACAGACCTGCAATCAAACAAGTAGGGTAGTTTAATATTTTCAAGCTATTATTTAATAGTAAGACAAACTGCAATTATACTGGAAGAACACAAAAGTGTTCGCCAATTGATCAGAATATGGTGAGCAATTCAAGTGAAAACATGCACAAGAAGGACAACCAAAAAGTTTAAACCCTCATTGATGGGTATGTTATAAACTGAGCATTTAACTTATTTTACCTTTGCCAAGGAAATAAATGTAAATTATGAAAAATGTACATTATGGATAAAGGTACTATGAGATAAGAGCCCTTAATGGAACAGGACTTGTGTGGTCTTATAGAGTTGGAGTTATTTTTGACCAAGACTTATAGCAAGCATGCAACAAATATTAAAACAAACAAATATTAATACACTAAAACATGTAGCCTTAACCTGTTCCTCAAGCTGAACAGCCATGTCCTGTAAGCCATCTTGTTGAGCCTTGTGTGCAGTGACATCAGCTTCCTTCTTGCATGGCACGCATGGTGGGGGAGGTGGAGTTGGCTGGTTACCACAACCAGTCATGCAAATGAAATATGAAACAAAAAAAAACAGTCACAAACAGTAATTAAACTTAACCACTCCTACATTAACTTTCAGTTTATTTAGGACACAATCAAAATGTGGCTCAATGCACTCATACAAATAGTAGTAATATTGTGAGGAAAAACAAGATAGTCAGTCATCTTGATGAAATTACTCATGAGAAGGACAACTAATTCCATTAAATTTCTCATCTGTTTAGGCATAGATTTATATCACTAACCACCATTGATCTAATTAAAAATCTCTTATGCACAATTTGCTGGGTTTAAATTTGGCTTAATTGGAGTTCACAATAAATTTTCTCAGACAATATTTTTGCATACATCCTAAAATGACATTTTATGACCTAAATTTGGATTGGTCAAATGGGCAAATTTACCTCATTTTCATCAATGCAAATTGGCTCCTCCTTCACTGTTATTTCATCTTCTTCACTTTCAGGTTCCCCTTTAATGTAAACAGAGCTCACTTTTTGCAGTACAGGCGAGTCACTGGTCTCATTGGCTGAATAGAAAAGAGATAATTAATTATCTTTATTATCAACAGTATACATGAAATATGTTCTACACAATTCTCATTATTGAAATGTCTTATTCCACATAAAATATTGGTAACAGGTGAGTGATGAAATTTTTGTGTTTTTTTTAGACTCACTGTTAGCAGTTTTGCCACACATCAGAACAAATAACTCAGCAAGGCAATACTAAATATTGACACAGGTCTTGATTTTAGTGATCTCAACTAGCAATAGGCTTCAAGTAACAGACATTTGTCATCATGACATTCATTAACACTGTAATTAGTGCAGGACCAAAAATGCAGCTCACCCTCTGATTTGAGTTTGCTGCCACCAGTAGACACGTGAGTGAGGCTCTGCTCAGGACACCAGCCCCTCCTGACTGTCCAGACATCAGCCCCTGACAGCCCCTCTCCATCAGAGAGTTTGTGCAGTACAACACTGCATTTTCTCATAATTTGAGCTGAGGGAATCATGTTAGTATTTGGTTCTTGTTCACATGTTCTTATTAGTGATGAAATATCTATCAAAGCTATGTCAGAGCAGTAGGAAGAACTTCAGAGAATTTGGAAAAAAAGTTCATGCATAAAGATTTGTATTTTGAACCATTTTTCAATTAATGCAGCATGAGTATATTTTTATGCAATATTGTCTGAAATTGTAAAAACTTATTTGTATACAATGATAATATATACCATATGGTATGTTTGACAAAAATGTTATAACTTTTCATTTGGAAAAATTCAACCATTGGAATTTTAAAAGTGTTACTATATTTAATCACAAAAATCTCCTATTTCAAAATAATAACTTTCATCATTAGCTGTAGATTGTCAATTCAATGAACTCTATGCTAGGGTAGAACAAAAAAACTTGTTTGAAATTGCTAGCAAAATATGATTTTTTTTTTGTGTGGCTAGGTACATACTAAATGAATCCCCTCCACAGTAATTTTTGAATTGCTACAATTTGAATTAATTATGCAAACAATTTTGAGTTGTTGCTAAGCAATTTAAAATGTAGAAAAAAACATATATTTTTGTGCATTTTTTACTTTGGTATTAATTTTGGTGGATAACTTCAATTAATGAGATGATGCTGCTAATTAAATAATCACTACTTAATTAAATGTCAGAAACAATATGGCACTAGTCACTTGATACTGGCACTAATCGAGAAGTTCTTGGAGCCTAATTGCATAATACACATACTGACTGAAGGGCAGTCACAGACTCGCAGCCAGGCAGCCCCATCCCTCATTACACACCTAGACAGCCTGACAAGCTAAGAATGCTAAATTTGCCAGAGGGTGGAGGATAATGCAGGAGGGTGTGTGCAGAGTGTCAAACCACAAATTTTATACAACCAGTTCTCTTTTTTAATTAAATGTATCTACAATGAAAGAGGCGGACTTCAGAGTACTGTTAGTAATGGATGAGTACGCTCTGCATGCTTCAAGTGTTTTAAAATGAAGTTTCATTCCCACTCTTTTTTTGCTTCTGGCACCTTACGAATAGCATATGGAATTTTTTTGAAGATGCCATTCGATAGCCCTCACAAAGAGCTATAAAATGAGTCTAAACTTGTTTATGAAATGTTTCATCAAAAGAAGTTATTAACAAAAAACGCTCAAAACCGTCCCGAGTAGCCCCGGTTGACGGTACTGACTGCAGGGCAGTCACAGACTCACAGCCAGGCAGCCCCATCCCTCATTACACACCTAGACAGCCTGACGAGCTAAGAATGCTAAACTTGCCAGAGGGTGGAGGATAATGCAGGAGGGTGTGTGCAGAATGTCAAACCACACATTTTATACAACCAGTTCTGTTTTTCAATTAAATGATAATGCTGGTATCCATGATACTGTACTAGTCTACTAATAAGCCAGGATGCAGACTTTGCAAGCAGCATTGCCAAAAGAGGTATGGAATTTTAGCCCAAAGCATTGCTAGCCATTTTTAAGATGCATCACTGGGTAATTTCAAATAAGAGTGCTGCAAGCAACTATGATAGTATATCCCTTACTCTCCAGTTCTCCATGTGCTGCAACACTTACACTTATTGCAACTGATTTTTGGACAAACTTCACTGCATCCTGATCCATCCAACATACCAGAAACCTTACTGTGTGTGCTTGCAGTCTTTCAGATTTGCAGTAATTGCAATAATTTTAAAGTAATTTCTAAAATGCAATAATTCTAATCCAAATATGTGTTGGCAAGATCTTCTGAAGACGTCAATTTTGCTGCTGATGCGTCACCAAAGATCTTTTGATATTCACCCACTTTTTGCACCCTGGCTAATAAGACTCCAAAGCAAGTTAAAGGATGAGTTTTAAAAATTCTCTGCTTTGACACTATGTGTAGCAGCCTCTGTGTCTACCATTGGCAAGTTTGCAGCATTGGCTGGAAGACTGGCAGTTAGTGCATTTTTATTACAAGGTTTGATACTATAAGTATAACTATAAAATCTGTGTTTTGACACCATGCCAACAGAGGAGTATCTATTGTACCACACTTCTCTTTAACTTCTCTTCTTGTTTGTTTGTCTGTCTGCTCCAAATCTTATAATCAATATTTTACATACTTCTACCTGTCCAAATGATCTGAAAATTTGCAAACTTGCATAAAATTGGAGACAACAAACAAATCAATTGACAGAATACAAAATAAATTAAAAAATTAAAAAGAAAATTTACAAAATAAAAAAAAATAACATTTTTAAATTGTACATGTCAATAACATGTTTAACCATTTAATGACCAAATTTTTTATAGGTAGTGCATAAAAAAATATCTCTTATAATTTCTAGTGATTACAATCACTAAGTAGTGTATAGATGAGTATGGAATATTGAAAATTGTATATTTAAAAAAAAGTAAGGCAAAATTTCAGTCCACTTGGTCTTACAAGACCCTAACATTAAACGTGACCTTATGATCCATTTTGTCTTTTGAGCACAAAATATGGATGATATTATATAGCTGGCATAGTTAATTATCATTTTATGCATTACTTTTGCTAGCAACGATACGAATTCCAAGAAACTTGCAAGAAACTCCAGTATTTTAGCCACAATGCCTTATTTATGATTGAATTTTTTTCAAATAAATTTTGTGCTTTCCAACATCCTTGTTGTTGGGAAAACATTCAAGTTCAAGTTGGGAAAAGTTCAAGTTTGACTGGGGATGGAAGTTTTTGAAGAAACACATTCATCACTTTGTTATAGCCTGGAGCAGTATTCCTTAGAGCCTGGAGAGCCAAGTTCAACTTGTCTGGTGTGAAAGGCTCAAGAGCCGAATTGGGTGGGTTGGGACAGCTTGATGTTAACTGCCCTGACTTCATGAGAAGGAACTGGTGCATCATGAAAGGGAAACCAGTGCTGAATGAATGCAGATGCTTTTCCAAAATCATCTGACATGGGAAAGTTTGAGAGAGGTGGGTAGGCATATATGGAAGAGTTTTGCCTTGTATGCTTCAAATCTTTGACCAAGTTGCCTTAGTGGTGGTAGTGGCAGACAAAGTGCCAACAAACTGCTCCCAGCTGGCCCTCCGCTTCTGCAACTTGAGCCAGCGTGCCGTAGCTTCAAGTCGTTTGAACTCTATCAGGTTGGATGGGGAGGGTGATTGCCAGAGTCTGGTCTTAGCAAGCCTTCTCTTTGCAACTGCCTCAGCACATTCCGCGTCCCACCACGGTGTGGAGAAATGAAAGTGTTGAACCCCACTGGAGTGTGGTATAGCTCCACAAGCAGCAGACACTATACAGTTTGTCAACTGTGTGCACATCATTTCTGCTGATAGCTCACTTGCATCTGGAGGACCATTGTTGTCCAGGGCTGACAAATACTTAGCCCAGTCAGCAGCATACAATTTCCACCGTTTTGGTATTGATTTGTGGCTCGATCTTGGAAGACCATTGTTGTCCAGGGCTGACAAATACTTAGCCCAGTCAGTAGCATACAATTTCCACCTTTTTGGTATTGATTCTGTTGCTCCGTCTACTGGTATGCCAACTATACAGCAGACTGGAAAGTGATCACTCCCTAGATTTCTCTCTCTCTACATAGTGAGGAGCAGGAGAGATCAGATGATAAGATAAAAAGGTCAAAGCAGGATGTAGAACCAGTTCTGTTGTCAATGTAGGTTTGAAAAGATGAGTCATTTAAAACACCCAAGTTCAGAGTATCCACTGCTGCCTCCAATGACTTGCCAGTCTGGTTGTAGTGGCCCCGCATGTCCCACAATGGTGAGTGTGCATTAAAGTCACCTGTCAAGATGCAGGGGGGCCTAAGCTGCTAAAAGTATGAGAGGCACTCAGCCTTTGAGATATCAGCTCCTGGATTGTAAAAATTTCCAATACTTACTGAGCCCAGAGCTGATTGGACTTGGACAGCCTGAAACTCCAGACTACCCACTTGAAATGGGTTCACCTTCAAAGAGTGAGAGGCTAGGTCACACCTCACTAGTATGGCTAGTCCTCCCCTGGGGGCCCCCAACCTGTGAGACCAAAAACATTGGTATCCCACAAATTGTGGTTCCACGTTCTTCAGCCAGGTCTCACAGAGACAGACTACATCTGGCTTCTGGGAATAAACAAAAATTTTGAATTCTGTCAATTTGTTATGTCCACAACTCTGCACTCTCTTGGAGGAGCTGCTGGTGCCCTGTTGACTCTTTCTTTGCTGCGATGCACTTTGTTGCTTACTCTTAGGGGAGGAATTTACTGTTAGATTTTCAAGTGGAGCTGTGGTCTGTATGATAGTGTTACCGAGTGTCTCTAGCGGGTGAGACAAACTCGTTGTCTGCTTATGGATTTAGAGGTAACTATCTAAGTGAAAGGATAATGAAACAATTTCTCATTAAAAATTAATTAAGGGATCTTGCACAAAATTAATCAAAACAGTGACTGAAGTACAAAACAAACTCTATGGGTATTAATGACTAATAAAAGTATTCTGTGGATTGCGAATGTGTAGTGGATTCTAAAAATGTACTAGAAATTAGAGCATGGGCAGGCGGAGGTGGTTCATGTGCCAGTTAACTGAAAGCATAACTAAAATTAATTGATGGAAATTAAATTGGCAACACTCATGACAATGCTTTGGAACATGAGAAATATTTTAAGGTAACTTAACCACTCATGGCAATCATGCCAATTAAGACAATAAACATGCTTGAAGCATTAATTAGTGGAACAGAAAACGGAATCATAGTTAATGAAGGTACAATGAACAAATCAAGATTTCAAGGTTAAAACTCTGAACTTAATGACAGTAGATAATTAACTGAACAAATGATATAACTCGACTAAAAATGTTAATGAATCATATTGGCACTTTAGAAAAGCATCACAAACATGGGACAGAATAGCTGGTACAGAATAAATATACACATAATACAAGCACATAATAAAAAGCACATTCAGAAAAGCCTTGCAATGACAACAGTTAAATTAAGAACCAAAAGCCTCCATTGAAAATTGTGAAAATGAAGCTTAAGTAAGAAAGACTTGAGTAAGACAGTGACGCTCAGACACTTAGCATCATCTTACCATTAGCCTGAAGGGACAACAACAGCAGTCAACTGACCTAGGCAATAGTCCTTCTAACAAGCAATAACAGCCTTCTGACTTCCCAATTGATCAGACAAAGTA